GCAGACGGGTCGACATGGCTAACTTTCTCTCAGCATCAGAACTGACACTACTACAACAACAACTTGTACTGATGTAGCGGCCTCCAAGCAGGGCATCTCAGAGCGAGTGACAGTGGCGGAGCCCGACTCTGGGCCGGGGTGGGGGGGTAGTGGGGAGGTGGCCGTAAGCACATTTCCAAGAGGAAAGTTTTCAGGTGGCACTTGAAAGAGAGGAGAGAGAGTGGGGTGGGGGTGCGAGGCAGAGGGTTTGAGGGAATGTGTACCAGAGTTTCGGGACGTAGTGGCTGAAAGCACGACCTCCGATGGTGGGGCGGAGGGTGCGAGGGATGAGCAGGAGGCCGGGGCCAGTCGAGCGGAGGTGCCGGATTGGGGTGTGAAGAGGCCGGAGAGGTAGGGAGGTAGGTGCCAGGGAGTGAATGGATTTGAACACGAGTGTGAGGATCTTGGAGGTCGATCCATTTGGTGACGGGGAGCCAGCAGCGGAGCCTGGGCCAGAACTGCTGAGATGTGGGTACGGAGTTTTGTCCGGGTCAGTGTGCAGGCGGTAAGAGTTCTGAATAATCTGGATCTTTTGAGCGGTGGAGTTGGGGAGACCGACCGGCGAGGAGTGCGTTGGGAGCGATCCAAGCGGGAGGTGACTAAACGTATGCACGGGGCGGGGTGAGTGGAGGGGAGAAGGCGGTGTGGATGGTCTGGGCGGGGTGGAAGGGAACGTGGGGCGGGAGGGACGATGCAGCCAGGTAGACGTTTTCAATTGAGGGGCAGAAGTCCAGGACCTCTTCGCATTTGGCATTTGACGTGAGGATAGAGGGGGTGCACGGAGGCGGAGGTGATGGACGGTGGTCTTTGGGTCGTCGTTTGCCTCCAGGATGACTTTGGGCCTGTTAAAGGGAGAGGCGGTAGGTGTCGAGAGGCTCGAGCCACAGCTGGCGGTGAAGCGTGAGGCCAGATTTCTGCATCTGCACTCGAGCGTCCAGCTTTACTAACGCTTGTCCTTCGCGCCCTGACAGTGCTCACTGGCTCTCACCCTCCGGGCTTGAGGATGATTTGTCACAACCACCTTTTTTATAAGGGTTTGTTTCGTTTGCCTGTCTCTTGCGGCTGGAATCTTTGAGGCTTCGAGTAGGAACTGGCGTCGCCAACCCCGTTGCACCGTTTTTATTCCATCAGGGCAGATCTTTTGATCCAGGATCCTTAATGCCCCTCATTTCTGTCCATCCAATCTTTTTAAAGGGTCCCAATCCTTTCTGCATCCGCAAAGTTCAGTGGCTCTCAACGTTCTCCCGACCCCCTCTGAGAAACACGACTTCCAGACACCACGCAGAGAAATTACTGTGACTTGCGAGCGCACAACAACTACAACTACTACTACAACAACAACAACAACAACAACAGATTGCATTTGTATAGCGCCTTTCATGTCGGGAGGACGTCCCAAGGCGCTGTACTCCCGTAAAATCTCATCTGTATAAACCGTATGATCGTCTGAATCGTACAGCTTCCCAAGTCCTGCTCAGCGGTTTATATTCCATGTAGTTTTGACATAACTTATACTTTGCATAAGTCACATTAAATGTATCGTCCCGACTGATACAACTTGTATTTGGCCCCACTTCCCTGCCATTCCCCCCCCCCCCCCCCCACCAGCACCACCATATTCTTGTATGTTTTCTCCTTTTCAGACCTTTGCCTTGATCCCTTTATAAAGTATATAACGGATTCCGCTTTGACCAGCATTTTGGCACAGCATTCCATGTGTTTATACGTAAAAAAAATTCTCACAACTTCTCCCTTCGCTTTTCCGGTGGACTTTATCCTCGAGAGATCGACGCACTGATCGGTGAGAGTGTGTGGCTTGTGCGCGTGTGCGTCTGTGTGTAAGTGTGCGTGTGAGTGTGTGCGCGTGTGTGTGTATGTGTGTGTGTGTATAAAACATGAGATATATCTATTAAATATTTATAAATATATCTATATTATAAATGGCGCGGAAGGATGTAGCCGGAGGATACCCTCCAAGCGTTTTATTTAAGAATAGAACTCCCATCGTAAATTGATGGCGCACCAACCAGGACATTCTGCAGCTAACGCACTCGACGCCTATTCCCGGATTTCTCTGCCACGGTTACTCCACCAAACTGCAGCTTGAGGACGTGGCCTCAACTGGCTCTTGCACTCACATCACCCGGCTCTCTGTCTTTCGCACGTGTATTTATTCGCTCACTCGCTCGGACTCTGTCTGTTCCTGCTTGTGGTTCTCGTTCTCCCTCTCTCTCTCTCTCTCTCTCTCTCTCTCCCGAGTGTAGGGAATTGTTTATTTTAAAGCTCATCACAGGCAGAGGCTCGGTGTGTATCGCACGGACTGAAGCTATTGCCGTTGCCTTGTCTCGGACTTCGAAGCTCTCTTGCCAGACTTGCTCTCAATCCCGCTGCTGTTTGCAGGCCGGTGTCCGCGGCTCAGAGACCCTTTCAGCTGCAATCCCCTCTCGCACTGGCTCCAGCTTCGTACTTTTTTTTTTAGACAGTTTATGGTCCTACGACGACAGAGCCCGGAAACAGAAATGTGACATTATGGCATTAATCCTGATTCAGTTCTCGGGCAGGTCGGGGGCGAAACCTTAGGCAAGTTTCCTTACTCCACACGCCTCTTGTAAGTTGGAATCCAGTTGTTAGTGGATTGGCGGATCGCTTTTCCGGGAATAATAATCCCTCTACACAAAAAAAAGTGTTCGCTTAACCCACAACTGTTTGTGGGGACGCTGCTGTGCGCAATTGGCTGCCGCATTTCGCCCACAAAATATACAGTCAGTTCATTTTGCAGTAGATTCTGTGAAGCACTTTGAGGATTATTACCTTTGTAGTTTCTCTTGGGCTCAGAGGGTATCTGCTTGGGACTTTGTGGTTCCCGTTCTTGAGCCAAGTATGTGTTGGGAAATGGCTGGGAACAAGAGTAAGTCAGCGGTCCAGGGCTAAATTTGCCCCTGGAGTGAGTACTGTGGGAACGCAAGCGCTGGATTTGCCAGTGGATACCGTACAGAATTGACGTGGGGGCCGGGGGTTATCCCTGTCCGGGGAGGAGGGGAGAGTTTCAGTGCGGAGGTTAGCGCTGTGGAAGGAGCGGGGGTAGCGATGTGTACGTGGGGGCGATGGGATTTATTCATAAATAATCCTTGCATTTGATACAGCGCCTTATCACGTCTTCAAGACGTCTCAAAGCGCTTCACAGGATACACTGTAAAGTGAATTTGCTATGTTTTGTGCGGAGCGAAATACCTGCAGCGTAATGTAGCTTAGCGGTGTGAAGGGGTGGGGTTAGCGGTTTGTGGGGCGGGCAGGGATTTAGTGGTGTGTGAGGGGAGAGGCTGGGGTTCAGTGGTGTGTGAGGCTGGTGGGGGGGTGGGTAATGGTGGGGACTTGGGGGAAGGGGGGGGGCATCACCCAGTTACTGGACGCGGGGTCTCAGTGCAGATCAGATCAGATGTGCAGTCTAAACGCTGATGTTAAACATTGGCGCCCGAATAAAATAATCCAATTTGAGTTGCTGTGTGCGATGTGGTCGTCAGACACCCTTCGAAACTCTCCAGTTCTACTTCATTTCGGCTCTTACAATCGATCACTGGAGTCCTGCAGCGATAGTGTTTAGTGCACTCAGCTCACAAGCGATTGGGTTTGATTCCCGGGCAAGGGCGAAACTTTGGGCACACTTCCCTACTCCATATACACACCCCCACACACCCCCACACACACTTCTGTTTACTTTAGCAGTAAGTAGGAACCCGGTTGTTAGTTGATGACGATCTCTCAAAAGAAAAAAAAATTTGTCGCTTCAATCCACGGCTGTTTGTGGGGCAGACGCCGCTGCGCGCAATCGGCCGCCGCGTTTCACCCACAAATATGCGGCCAATTCACTTTGCAGTCTGTTCTGTGTAGCGCTTTGAGACGTCGAGAAGACGTGAAAAGCGCTATATCAAATGCGAGGATTATTATTCTACAGGAAAAGATTTGGGCGAGAGAAAACTTTGCTGGGGTGTAATTACCGTGGGCTTAGTTTCTTCCGCCTCCCCCCACCACCCCCCCCTCAACCCACCCCCCACACAAAAAAAACAACAATCCGGCTCGATGCCGTGAGGATGCAGATTGTTTGCAATGGTAGTGTTACATAACAGTGTAGTTTTTCCAGCTCTCAATACAGTTGTGCGCTTCTCTGTCTCTTTCTTCCCCTTTTTCCGCTTCCTCTCCCAACACCCAACAAGTCGGGGCATAAAATCAAGTGCATTAGCTCCATCCCCACTCGCTTCCAGCCATCTCCACTCAAGTGCCACAGTCATGGCCTGCGAACAGGAGACGCAACCCCCCACAACACACGCACACACACACACGCACACGCACACACAAGCTCACGGCAGTCTTTCCAACCCCCGTCTTGCTTTGTTTTGTGCTCCCCCACCCCCCCCCCCCCCCACCCCCCCCCAGACACTCGAGCCATCCACCGCACAGAGCAGCCAAAGTTGCGTTTGAGTGTTGTTGGACCACAAGAAGGGGGGGGGACATCGGGAGAGGGAATGGAATGGCAAAGACACGCACGGCGAGTCTTGTAAGGGGGAAATTCTAGCGAGTCAGTGCTGGAACACGAGTTGGGTTGATACGACGGGCTCAGCGCCCCAGGGAGACTAGCGCGAAGGCGAGACGGGGTCCTGACTCATTCGACTGCGGAAGTCAGGGCGGAATCGGCAACAGCTCGCGCTGACACAAGCGCCCCTCATCACGCGAGGTAGCGTCCCAGAGCGCTTGCCAGTGGCGGAGCACGATGCCGAGGGGAGGGAGGGAGGGAGGGTAGGGAGGGAGGGAGGGAGGTGACCGTCAGCGCGGTCGAAGAGGAAGGTCTTCGGGCAGGACCTGAAGACGGGGGGGAGGGAGGGAGGGAGGGAGGAAGGGAGGGAGAGAGGAAGAGGGTATGACAGTTTCGGGGCATAACTGAATCTTAATTTCGTTTTGGCTAACAGAGCACCCAGTCAAGTTAGGAACCTGTGAGTATTGCGGAGTGACACTAACTACTGGGGTAGGCCTCTCCAACCACATGCGTGGCCATCTGAAATCTGGATTGAAAAGGAAGTTACCGGGTTTGGCTCAGTTCGAGGAACTTCACGAAAGGGCTGATCCTGGGCTCACCGACACATGTGAGACTTTAGCTTTGTCTAACTTAACAACGGAGAGAAAGAGCAATGAAACTGTTATATATATATATATACATATACACATATATAAAAAAAACTATAATAATAATAATTCGAGTGACGGGCGGTGCTACGAGGAGGCGTTGTGTTGAAATGCACTGCGGAGGAACTGTGTGTGATGTTCGTGCTGTGAAACTGAACCCCCAAAATTATCACTCTCTCCCCTCCCTCCCCCCCCCCCCCCCCCTCCACACGCACACCCCCACACACACGCATTTTCACACCGCAGTGCAATGAATGATCCTTACAAGTCTCAGGGACAAACAATTGCAGCTTCTGCTTGCTTCCTTTCCATTTCTTTTTCATTTGCATGCGAGCAGGTTGTTATTTCTTGTGCTTCTGTGTTCTCGCACCCGTTCTCTCTCTCTCTCTCTCTGTGTGTAGAAACCCCAAGTAGTCCGACACGTCAATTCATTTTGTAAATGGATGTTTGGTGTGCGTGTGTGTGCGTGTGTACGCGTGTGTGTTCTCGTGGTGCGTGTGTGTGTTCTCGTGGTGCGCATGTGTCGTGTGCGTGTTCATGCTGTGCGCGCATGAGTGTTGTGTGTCTGTGACTGTTCGTGTTGTGTGTGCGTGTTGTGTGCGCGTGTGTGGTGCTGTGTTGTGTGTGTTTGTGGTTGTTCGTGGTGTGTGCACGCATGTTTCTGTGTCGTGTGTGCGCGTGTTCGAGTGTTGTGTGTGGTTGTGGTTGTTCGGGGTGTGTGCGCGCGTGTGTTCGTGGTGTGTGCGCGCGTTCGTGCTGTGTGTGCGCGCGCGCGCGCGCTCGTTTGTGGTATGTGTGCACGCGCCTGTTTGTGTGGTGTGTGCGTGCGTGTTCGTGTTGTGTGCGCGCGCCTGTTTTTGTTGTGTGCGCGCGGGCCTGTTTGTGTTGTGTGTGCGCGTGTTCGTGTTGTGTGCGTGCGTGTTTGTGTTGTATGTGTGCACGCGCGTGTTCGTGTTGTGTGCGCACGCGTTGTGTGTGTTCGTGCCGTGTATGTATGCGTGTTCATGTGTTGTGCGTGGATGTATGTTGTGTGTGGTCGTGTGTATGTTGTATATTGCGTGCGCACGTTCGATTGTTTTGTGTCTCCGTGTTTGTGTGTTGTATGCGTGTGTTGTTTGTGTTGTATGTGCGTTCGTGTTGTGTGAGTATGTACTCGTGTGTGTGTTGTGTATGTTGTGCACATGTGTTGTGTGCGCGCATGTTTGTGTTGTGTGTGTATGTACGCGTGTCATGTTGTGTGTGTTTGTGGTGTGTGTTTGTTCGTGGTGTATGTGTGTGTTCGTGTTGTGTGTTCGTGGTTTGTGCGTGTTCATGTGTGTTTGTGTGTGTGACTGTTCGTGTTCTGTGTGTGTGTGGTCATGTGTTGTCTATGTCCGCGCGTTTTCGTGTGGTGTGTATGCTTGTAGTGGTATGTTGTGTATGTGTGTGTGTATGTTCGTGTGTTGTATGTGTTCATGTGTTGTGTGTTATGTGTGTGTGTCCGGGGTGTGTGTTTGGGTTCGTGCTGTGTGTATGTGTTCCTGCTGTGTGTATGTGTTTGTGTGTGTTCGTGTTTGTGTGTGTATGCTTGTGCGTGTGTGCTCGTGTTGTGTGTTGTGTGTGCGCGAGTGTTCGTGTTGTGTGTGTGCATGTCGTGTGTTGTGTGCAAGCGTGTGGTCGTGTGTTGGGTGTGCGTGTTCAAGTGTTTTGGGTGTCTGTGTTGCGGGTGCGAGTGTTTTGGTGGTGTGTGTGTGTTGGTGTGTGTGTGTGTTCGTGGCGCGTGCGCGTTCGTGGAGAATGCGTGAGCGTTCATGGCGCGCATGTGCGCGTTCGTGGCGCGTGTGTGTTCGTAGCACGTGTGCGTGTTTGTGGCACGCGTGTTCGTGGCACACGTGTATTCGTGGCGTGTGTGAGTTCATGGCGTGTGTTGCGTGTTCAGGGCGTGCGCGCGCGTTCGGGGCGCGTGTTCGTGGTGTGTGCGCGATCGTGTTGTGTTCTTGTGTGTGTGTGTGTGTGTGTGTGTGTGTGTGTGCGCGCGTCGTGTGTCCATGTTTGCGTGGGTGTGTGGTGCGTGCCTGTGTGTGTGGTGTGTGTGTGCGTGTGCGGTGTTGTGCACGTGTGTTGTAACCTAATTCCAGTCCTGTTTGCATGCGGTTTGTTGTGCCCCTTTGTGACCTACACAATTCTCTGCCTCGAAGGCCAAACAGTAAATCCACTCTCACTTTCTTCCCAAACCCCTAACTCCCTCATAGTCCAGTGAAGGTCGACTGATGGCGTCGCAGGGCGGTGCGGGCGGGGCGGGGGGCGCGCGCGGGGGCGGGGGGGCGCGCGCGGGGGCGGGGGGGCGCAGGTGGGCAGCGGGAATATTTCTAGACTTTGTTTTGTAAGCTTCGCAACGTGAATGTGTTTTAAATGAATATTTTTTTTTAAAAAAACACACACGCACAAACGAGGCACCGTTTGTCAGTGTTGTGGGAAAATAACTGTTAAACGACGTTAGATTTAATGTGAAGCGTTTGACGTCGGAGCGCGCGGACGGCGACGTGGAATATTCACAGTGCAGTTCAACTCTTTACGCGAGCACTTGGCGCGGTGTACGGGCGAAGACTCCGCTTGAGAGCAAAAAGAGCGAGAGATTTGTTTCCGTTAAAAAAAAAATCCACCGTCTTTCCCTTGAATTAAGTGCCACGAACACGAAAGCACAGGGGCCCACTTCTCCCGTCGGTTGAGAGCCCGAATGCGGGTGAAAAGCAGAACGGTCCGCGCGTTTTTTTTTTTTTTTTTCTTTTTAAAAAGGAAAAGAAAGTTGCTCTCGAGCCGACACGTGCCGGCGGGCGCGTGGGACGCAGTTTTGCTCGCACAAAATTGGCGCCCGTTTGCCTTGCACGTTCGCAAGGCACGAGGACCAGGGGTTTGATTCCCAGGCGAGACATTGGGCAAGTTTCCTTGACTGCACGTGCGCGCGCGCGCGCCTCTATTCACCCGGCAGGTGCTTAGCTGATTGGCGAATCTGGGAGTAATAATCCCTTTTTAAATAAAAAGTAATAATTTGGTCGCTCAGTCTATGACGGTCTGTGGGGCACTGCTGTGCGCAATTGGCATAGTCTGTGACGCGCTTTGAGACGTCGAGAAGACACGATAGGGCAATATATCAAATGCAAGGATTATTATTATTACATTAAGGGAGTGGTTTCGCAAATTTTAATAGTACATAATTACGCAAACATCCCCTGGTTTTTCTCTCCTACACACCTTTGCGTAAAAACAAAACACACCACACAGGAAAACAGCAAGAACCGAAGAGTTTGCCTTCGAAAGTACATTTCCAAATTTTGTCGCCCAAACGCAAAGGTGGTTTCTCGAGAGGGTTTGACTGCACTGTGGAGGGTTTTCCCTAAACATATTCCACGGAAGCGTGTGTTTAAAGTTAGACGTGTGACAGAGAGAGGGAGACAGAGGCGAGAGAGAGAGAGAGAGAGACAGATAGACAGAGAAATCGTGGCTGATTGTTTGCATGATGACCAATGAACTGAACTGAGCCAACGGACTAACGGCTTCTCTCCCGGGTGTTCAGCTGCCGACCGCAAGCCGCAAAAGTCAGCCCTGTGCGGGGAGAATGTGCCGCCCAGGTTCGAGGAGGGCAAGGAGTCCAAAACCTTCAGGCCCAAACTGGAGGAGGCTCGCCCGCCCAGGGTCAGACCCATGATCTTCCCGGTGCCAAAACCAGAGCCCCTCTCGCTGGTCAAGTTCATAGGAAACATCTACACTCTGAAATGCAGGTAAGCGCTCTCCCATCCCCCCCCCCCCTCACCCCCTCCCCGAGTGACCCAACGTCAACTCGCGTTTGCACAGCGCCCTTCGTGAGCAGTAGCGTCCCGGAGAAAACAGTGGCAGAGTCTGACAACGAGCCGAGGGGGAGAGGGAGGGAGGGAGGGAGGAGGTGACTGTGAGCACGATCAAAAAGGAAGGTCTCTTAGGCGGGACTTGAAGGTGGGGAGGGAGGGAGAGAGTGTCAGGGCTTGGGAGCACAGTGTGGTGGCCGAAGGCACGGCCACTGATGGTGGAGCGGGGGCACGAGGGATAATTAGGAGGACGGAGGCAGCGGGTGGTGGTGTGGAGGATAGATAAGCAGATCGGAGAGGGAGGGAGGTTGCCAGGGAATGAAGTGATTTGAAAACGAGTCAGTTGTTAGTCGATCGGCAGATTGCTTTCTGCCGGTAATAAAAAATACCTTGCCAGTCTCCCCAGCTCCACCGTCCACAAAATCCCACTGACCCCAAATTCCACTGCCCGCATAGTCACACACACTAAACCCCGTACCCCCATCACCCCAGTCCTCGCCAGCCTCCACTGGCTCCCCATCACACACACTAAACCCCGTACCCCCATCACCCCAGCCCTCGCCATCCTCCACTGGCTCCCTATCACACACACTAAACCCCGTACCCCCATCACCCCAGCCCTCGCCAACCTCCACTGGCTCCCTATCACACACACTAAACCCCGTACCCCCATCACCCCAGCCCTCGCCATCCTCCACTGGCTCCCTATCACACACACTAAACCCCGTACCCCCATCACCCCAGCCCTCGCCAGCCTCCAATGGCTCCCTATCGTCGAACAGATTGATTTCAAAATCCAACCCACTACCCGCTGCCTCTGCTCGATTGGCTCTGGCCTCCTGCTTGTCCTCAGTGCCCCCGTTCCACCATCGGTAGCCGCGCTTTCAGCCACTGGGCCCTGAAACTCTGGAATATTCTTTCTCTATCCCTCCGCTCTCTCCAGTTCGCGCCCGAAGACCGTCCTCTTTGACTGTGCCTACGGTCACCTTCCCCCGGCTCAGCATTGTGCTCTGCCACTGTGAAGTGTTCTGGGACGCTATCATGCGTTAGGGGAGCTGAGTAAATGTAAGTTGTTCAAAAAATCTACGCTAATAATAATAACTTGGTCACTCAATCCACAAGTGTCTGTGGGACGCTGCTGTATTTTGCCAACAAAACGCACAGAGTAGAATACAGTATATTTTTTGAAACGTCTCAAAGTCGGGATGAGGTACATTATCAGATGTAAGGATTATTATTTTATGTGCAATCGACTGCCCGGATGGTGGAAGGCGAACTGGATGGACCTCGGTGTCTTATGTGTGGCCTGGCAAATTCTTAACGTTCCCCTCTGTGCAGGTTCTGCGACGTTGAATTCCATGGCCCCCTCTCCATCCAGGAGGACTGGGTGAGACATCTGCAACGACACATCCTAGACACAAGCTTCCCGAAGGCAGAGGCACCTCGCAAAGAGATCTCCGTACCAGCCGAGCCAGAGAAATCAGCCGGCTGAAACGCCTGGCTGCTACCCTTCCCCCTTCTCTGTAGGCCTGGGTAACGTGGGCAGAGTGAGCACGCCCGCGCGCGTGCGTGTGTGTGTGTGTGTGTGTTCTCTCTCTCTCTCTCTGACGCCAACTTGATTCTGTGTTTCTTCTAGTTTAGTATCGTTCGGGGAAAGATTCTTTGCCTTGAAACAAGTTAAATTGATGTGTAGTAATGAGAGTATCTTATCTGCCTTATGTGGATTTTTTAGAGTTACCTTCATACAGTAGAAATGTTAAAGGAAAAAAAAACTGTAGCCCCCCCCCCCTCCCTCCATTTTGATTTTATATATAATATATATATATACTAGCTACGTATCGCAGTGTACTTCATTGGGGATCGTGCCCTACATTGTGCGTGTACGTGTGTGTTGGGGTGGTGGTGGTGGGGAAAGGTTGCGGGGACCATCTCTCTAAGGAATCCTGTAGCTCAGCGGTTAGAGCACTCGCCCCCAAGCGAGAGACCTGGGTTTGATTCCTGGGCAGTGCGAAATGTTGGGCAAGTTTCCTGACTCCACACTCCTGTGTTTACTTAGCAGTAAGTAGGAAACCCGGTTGTTAGTCGATTTGGGGGGAATCGCTTTTCCAGGCGTAATAATCCCTTCAAAAGAAAAAATAATAACTTGGTCACTTCAATCCACGACTGTTTGTCGGGACGCCGCTGTGCGCGATTCATCGACTGCCACATTTCACCCGCAAAATATAGTCACTACACGTTAGTGTATCCTGTGAGGCGCTTTGGGACGTCTCAAAGACGTGATAAGGCGGTATATCAAACGGAAGGAATATTATTATTGTCCTGTACACAGGGAACGGTGACTAGATTTAAGGGCAATTAAGCTACCCCTTCCTCACGGAGTCAGTGGGGTCCATCAACTCATACCTCGAGGGTGGGAGGTGGGTTGGGGGGTGGGGGGGAGAGAGAGAAGGATGAAAAACAAGACGAGTCACGGTGAAAGCTGAATGGTACCTCTCTTTCCTTTTACCCAATAATGGAAGAGAGCTGAGTTTGTGAAGGGTTCGTCCGTCCTCTCTCTCTCTCTCTCTCTCTCCCTCTCCCGCCCTCTCCGTTTCTCTTCTTCCCCCCCCCCCCTTTCCCCCCAAGCTCTCTCCTCTCCAGTAAATTATTTGTAAGGATTCATATGGAACAAACGAAGAGGAAAAAATCCCTTTTAAAATGACTGAGAAAGCCACTCCGTATTCACTGGCCGCTGCTCGGGTCAAACACTGAGTAAACTGAACCGCATTAAGGAGGCTTGAACCTGGTTTGGATTGACCTGTGTGAATCACACCACCAACAACAACTTGCATTTATATAGCACCCCCTCACACAGGGTAGCGTCCCAGATGGCTTGAAACGTGAGGAGGTGGGGGGTCACGAACCCACCGGTCTCCGCCGCCGCCACCCTCTGGAACTCCCGTCCCACAGTCCATCCGCCTCCCCCCCCCCCCCCCCCCGCACCTTCGCCTCCTTCAAGACCTTCCTATTCGACCAACCTTTGGTCACCCTCCTACTTCCCACGTCTCCTGATCCCAACCCCTAGCTCGGGAGTGGATCGCCTCGGGACTTCCTCCTGACGTGAATGGCGCTGTGTAAATGTCAGGTGGTGGTGTTGTTGGACGGAGGGGAAGGGGTTACGTGAGGTTTGCGAGGCTACCGGTTGGGGTGGGGGGGTGTTGAGGGGGAACACCTACAAGCCAAAACCTAACGGGGAGGGTGGTCCTAGCTGGACAAGCAGCGGGAAAGCTCAGCCAGACAGCGCTCTCAATGGCAAGCTGTGCAGTTTTATCTGGTTAGACTCCAGCAGTTACCCCAGTGCACACTCTGGGGTCCCGTCCCCCCCCCCCAAGCCTTGGCTCTTGCCTAATACTTTCTGCAATTAGGTAAATAGGAGATGTCCCTCCCTCCAGAGAGAAAGAGAGCGCGCATTTCCATTCCAACGATCTACCTCTGGGATTTCCATGTGTAGGTGGGATTCTTAGCTTGGTTTGGGGACTCTTAGGCAGTGATGGGTTTCGGCAAGTGTCGGACAGACACCCGGCTGGGCAAAAAGTAAATTGGGTGTTGGCAGAGGACAGAGCATCTGTAACCTACACAGGCTGTGTCTTATATGCCATGGGGTTGGTCTCTCTAACCTGCTTTCACGTCACACACACGCACACACGCACACACACACACACACACACAGGTAAATTCAAAGCTGTGAATTTTGATCCCAAAATAATCTAAATTGACAGTTTATTAAATCTGTGGGACCCGGTTCTCTCTTCTTTTATATACACAGTCACGATACTTTACAGTGTATCCCGCGAAGCGCTTTGCGACGTCTGGAAGACGCGATGAGGCGCTCTACCAAATGCCAGGATTATTATTATTATTATAACATATAAACCAAATCGAGCTGCTAAATGTGAATCACATCCTCGGCCCCTGTGCGCGCCGATGTTAAACCCTCAGAATATCTATAAAGAGGTGTGTGGGGTGGTGGGGAGGGGGGGGGTGGAATGAGTGAGTGACAACAACCTCTCTCCCTCTCGCAATGCAACCACAATAGTTGTACTTAGGTCAGTATTTCATTCCTAGCCATTGGAATAGTTTGTACAGTTAATATTTGGAGAAGGGATTTTTATTTTTTGTATGATGTGGGTCACAAAGGCTGTTTGTTCCTTTTGTAGCTCCCCTTCCCCTCTCTCTTGCCCCTCCTTCCCCCCCTCTCTCCCTCCTTCCCCCCCTGTCTCCCTCCCTTACCCCTCTCCCTTCCCCCCCACCACCCGTCTCCCTCCCGCCTTCTTTCCCCACCATAAAACCAATGGGACTGCTTCGGACTCTTTAAGGAGTAAGTTGTACAACCGGCGAATTCTGTGCGTTTTAATTAGGTTCGTTGTAGTTTGTTTTTCGAGTTACTTTTAAAGGAAATGCATCTCCTCTTTGAGAACGGGGTTGTCCTGTCGAACGTGGAGAGAAGAGAAAAGTCTTGCTCGAGCAGTCAGGTTTTTAGTCTCTCTCACCTCCCCCCTGGGTTCCCTCTGCCAACTCCACAAAATACAGTCACTACACTTTACAGTATATCCTGTGAAGCCCTTTGAGACGGCTTGAATTGACGCTGTATCAAATGCAACTATTATTATAAAAGCAGTTGGCTTTCCCGTGACCCCTGAGCTAACCCTTGCTCGCCCGTGTTCGATGGCCTTCCCCGTCCGCTGTGAAGTGGCCGGAAATTCCACAACTTTTTAATTAGGAGAGAGAAAAAAAAAACGCGTGGGCAAGCGTCCTTCCGAATTTCAGGCAGCGACTCCCACCACAAAGCAGGCGCGGTTAGCCAGCCGTGCGGAGAAGGGGGTGGGCGTCTGCTAAAGATCCTGACGTTGGAATATTCCCCCTCCCCACCCCCAGTCCCCACCCCGAGTGACAGACACCTGCCACGCACTAGGCATTTCTTTCATTGATGAACGGCCGCTGAACTGAAAACCCAGTTTTTTTTTTGGTAATTTGAAACAAAACATTCCCAAAACGGGACGTTAGTTCCTGTAGTTTCCATTGCGTTGTGTTTTTCTATATATATATATATATACACAGATATAGAAAAAAAAATGTCTGTGCATCTAATGCGGTCCGAACACTTTACGACCAAAAAAAAAAACACAAAGCTGCATCTGGTTACCTGTTTTGACTTTTTTTTTAACCTGTTTCATTGACTATGCGGAGTCACTGTAGCTCAGCGGTTGGAGCGCTCGCCTCGCTGGCGAGAGGACCCGTGCTCGAGTTAAGCTAAGGGCAAAACCGTTGGCAAATTTCCTCACTCCGCGCACGCGCCTCTGTTTACACAGCCGTCAGTAAGAACCTGGTTGTTAGTCAATTGGCCGATCGCTGTAACCTTCAGAATAAATAAGTAAATAATTTTTTTTTAAATGATGATAATATGGTCACTCAGCCGCCAACCGTCTGTGGGACACCGTCTGTGCGCAATTGGCCGCCCACAAAAAGTACAGTCAATTCACTTTACGGTGATATTCTGTGACGCGCTCCTCGAGATATCTCATTGACTCTCAAATGCAAGGATTATTATTAGTATTATTCCTTGATACTGTATGGTTATGCACAAGAGTGCTGGGATTCTAGTATTACCACCAGAACCAAAGGTTGCGAAGACTGCTCGTTGGCTACTCCAGAATTTTTAAATGCTTTTTTTTTTTTTAAAAAGTTTTATACAAAGATTTAGACCTGTATCGGTCAGTAAATCATCCAGAATTTTTTCTTAGATTGTGTTCCGTCGATTTTTTTTTCTTATATGTTCTAAAAGTCCGATTTAAACCTTCTCGGTGACAGGCAGTACTGTGTGTATGTTTCTCTCTCTCTCTCTCTATCACACTCTCACGCTCAGCCTCAACGATGTCCGGATGCTGTGCGGTTGGCAAGGTTGAAAGCAGTCTGACCCGGGATCAAATCCTGGTGGGGTTCCTTTTTTCAAGTGTTTTTTTTTTAATTATAAAAAAAAAGCCCATTTTTTAAAAATCTTTACTGCAAGATAATAATCCCTTCGAAAAAAATAATAACAACAATAATAATCCACGACTCTTTGCGGGGACGCTGCTGTGCGCGATTGTTCTGCCGCATTTCGCCCGCAAAGTATGGTCAATTCACTTTACAGTGTATTCTGTGAAGCGCTTTGAGACGTCTCGAAGACGTGTTGAGGCCCAATATCAAATGCAAGGATTATTATTATCATTATTCTTCACCTCCGAGCCGTACTGCAAACCAGTGTTACTGCGGGAGGATTCATGTTGGAGCTGATTAGGAACCTGGTCACGGGATACGGTGCTATTACCAAGTGCAAGGAATATTATTATTATTCAGACATTGCTATGAAGCTGGTATTCTTTATGTTTCCTCTCAGTTAATCTCTCTCACTCCCCCCCCCCACCCCACCCCGTCCAGACCATAGGACCTTCAGGTTTGGGGATCTGATGGGATTTTAATGGGAGATGCATGACTGACTCGGCAGCCTTTCATCAGGAGAAGTAATCACTCACGGGGCGGAAAGGTTGGAACTCTGGTCAGATTTGTTATTGTGATAAAAGTGTGTGTTTGTGCGTGCGTGGGTTGGTGTTTGTGTGCGCCCGCGCGTGTGTGTATGTGTGTGTGGGTGGGTGGGTGTCTGTGTACGTGTGGATGTCTGTGGGTGTCTTCTGTGTGTGTGTGTGGGGGGGTGGGGGGTCGGTGTTTGTGTGTGGACCTCACAACAAGGCACACATTCATGTCTCCGAGCAG